ATTAATATTTATCAACTATTAATTATAATTATTAATTATTTTTAATAATCAAACTAAATAAAACTATTATTTTAAAAAGATAAAATTAAAAATTTATATTACCCTAAAAGTTTTCCACGTGTACATAATTGCTATGCCCAAGGGTACCCCAGAGGCGGAGACAATGACCTCTTATAAAAAGGGGAGTGGAATGCCATGTCTCAATCGTCTTTTGTTTTGCTTTTTATTCCTTTCTTCTTTTTCTTTTCAAACTAATCCACTACCTAATGTTTGGATGTCGTTTGAAAAAGGATGACACCTTTTCAGCCAAAGACTATTGAACCAAAAAAAATTATATCTTTTTATTTAAGTGATTATTATTATTTTTTTAATTTTTAAAAATTAAAAATAATATTTATATTTATTTATAATATTTGTAAAAAAATTAAAAAATTAAAAAATTAAAATTAAATAATTAATTAAAATAAATAAATAATTTAATATAGAGGGTTTTGCCATTGAATCAAAAAAAACATTAGAACTAACAATATATTAATTCAAGTAGGAGGAGTTTGATTTTTTTTAAGTACGATTTCGAATTCAAATCTTATAAATAAAAAAACATATGTTAAGAAAATTTTTTTTTTATAGAGTATGACATAATTTAATTTTGAATTTATTAAAATTTAATGTGATTATTAAAGATAAAAAAATTAATAAAAAAAAGAGGGCATTGGCATGGGAAGGTTGAAATTATACTACAAGCCAATCGAAAAGCATATAAGATAAAATTGTTTGGTGTGGCTCATGGACGCGGGAACTTGGATTAGTCAGCGGGCCATCTGTTATCGAGTAATTATAGTCGTGCCGTACACGCGTTCTATGGTTTTCTGACCAGAAATTGCTCACGTGTTTGCAATATCAATGCGAGTCTTGCAGATATGCTTGCCGAAAGAGCAGCCTATAGCAAGGCCAAAAAAATGGATTAAAAAGCATTGAGTAGTGCGTGGATATTGCATGTATATTTTCTTAATATTTTTTTATAATATTTGAATGTTAATTTTTTTATTTTTTTAAAGAGAAGTCTTTAGTAGAACTCCTTCGATTCTAGTGTAGCTGTTTTAGTTGAATTGTGCACGTCTCAGTTAGGTAATATTTACATAAGTACATCCACTATTGTTTGCACTTTTAAAAATAGAATGTTGTTTTACGATATCATTAAGGGTAAATTGTAAAGTAATTAACCATTAATAGAAATTGACTCCCAGTATCAGATATTATT